TACTTCTTAAACATATGAAGTTCAATTACTCAAATATTAACACAATAAAATTCCTAAGAACTTATTTGCTATTCTACCATCGCATTACATTTTCTTGCCTACAAAGGATGGGAAGTTTTAGAACTTCATAATGGAATAATTTTATACCTACTCTCAGATGAAGAAAAAGTATTTATTTTGTTTCTCTTTTCCCACATGAAGAAACGAATGTATTGATAGTCACTTACTATACAAGAGAAATTTGCTCGAGTTTGCTATTTCTCCTGTTTCTAACGTAAGCAAAAAGACTTATTTATATACTTTTGCATAGATCCTTGGAGCACTTCTTGCAGCCCAGAGTCAAATTTCCAACTTGTAATAAGATATCCCTTTATGCTGCTTTGTACTTAATGAATGTTGCACTGGTTGCTGTTTAACAGAGGGGCTGATCTTGGACAAGTCTGCTGTCTGAGGCCCATTCTTAGCCATGAATCTTGATGTCTATAAATATCTCTCATTATGTTCATTTTTAAATAATTTACTTAAGGCTTGGTAAATTTCCTGTGTGGCTTGAATAAATATCCTACTGAGTGGTCATAATTCATATATATGTATAAATAAAGAAAAAAATTTGCAAATTAAATAATGTATTACTGTACATAGTCTCCATGGGCAAGATAATCATTACTATAGAGCCGTTCATGAGCTGTTTTCTTTAGAAAATAACTCAACTGTCTTGCTGTGTTGAACTCTGCTCAGTTTCTTCAGTGTTCTTTTTTGTGCTCTAACTCACCTCTGGGTCTCTGTATATGTTGTTTCTTCTGTCTAAAGTAACATTCACCAGCTTTTTAACTTGAATTCTGCCTGTCTTTCAGTACTCACTGTGTTATGCATGGTCTGGGAGGATAACTTTTCTGTGTTTCACCACCCAGCTCCCTGCCAGTAATCCCCCACACCCACACCCCACCCCACCCCTTACACACACATACACACATGCAAACATAAACCTGCTCTGTGCATTGCCTCTTGTGTACACATCCAGCACAAAACTTAGCACATTCTAGTTGTGTTCACTGTCTCGTTCCCAACGCTCTACTACGAGGTGAATTACTTTCAGGTATACTGCACCTTCCATCGTTGTACACCTATATTTTTCAAAATGCCTAATATATGAAAGTATTTCACTTAATGTTTTACATAATGAATAAATATTTAGACAATAAGGAAATCAGTGTGGGTTGCAGTGGGCAGAACAGGCAACCGCAGGCAACCCACAGCTGGGTGTTACAGTGGATTTTGAAAGATGAGTAGTACATGGATCAGCCCTTCAGGAGGAGGAGAGGAGTGTGAGCAAAGGCAGGTGGAAGGATGAGAGAAGAAAGGTAGATGGTGTTCACAGAATGGCAGGTAGGATGTGGTCAAAGACTGAACAGATCAAGTGCATCCTAAGAAGCCTAACAGCTAGGCTGAAAAATTTAGGCTTAAATCAACAGGCAATAGAGATTTATAATTTGAAGATTTGAATTATCTGGCAGTGAAATAAATGGGTTAGAAGAACACCTAGAATTATGAGTGATCGTAGGACTATATGGAAAAGGAGGAAATGAAAGAGAGTTGTTAGAGGGAAAAAGCTAAGTGTAATTTGTTAGTGTTCTTATTTGGAAAATAATATTATGTATGTAATATGCAGTGTTTCAGGACTACATAACATATATTGCAGTAGACCTATTTTCTCTGACACGGAGTGACTCTTTTTAATTTTTGCTTCTTGAGACTGCCACCAATTCTTCTGTAGCTGCCCAGATATTCAAGGAATGACTTGTTTGTATTTACCACTGTATCTACATATGGTTTTTAATTTTTGCCAGTTCTACATCTTTGATAAGATAATAAAAAATAATAGGCAGATATGTATCTTCTTTAACATGATGTTCAGTTAATTGAAAAATACTTCCTGCAAGAATGAAGTACAGGCAGGGTGTGCTGGCACTCTCTTGTCATCTCAGCACTCTGGGAGGCCCAGGCAGGTGGACTGGTTGAGCTCAGGAGTTTAAGATCAGCCTGAGGAAGAGCGAGACCCTCCTCTACTAAAAATAGACAAAGCTAGCCAGGTGTTGGGGTTTTACCTGTAGTCCCAGCTACTTGGGAGGCTGAGGCAGGAGGATGGCTTGAACCCAGGAGTTTGAGGTTGCTGTGAGCTAGGATGACACCATGGCCACAGCACTCTAACCTGGACAACACAGTGAGACTCTATCTCCAAAAAGAAGAAAAAAGAATGAAATTAAGTACAATTGAATATATATTTAAAAGTGATAAAAAAGCATTTTTAAAGTAATTAATAATTATCTAAAATATAGTTATAAACTGGTTATTTTTAGGGTTTAGTTATTTATTAATACTTTATATTTTTATTGAGCAAATCCCATTTGGGAATTAAATCATTCTTTTCTATTTTAAGATGTATTCAAAGATTATTTATAAAACATCTGAATATTTTTAATATGTACACATGCACATACAGATTGTACACTTAAAAATACGCATACATGTTACTTTAATGAAACGTTATGACCAAATGCAAGTAGAATGAATTCATAAGCAGGGAAGTACCTAGTATTTTAGCTTTGTCTTCTTAACCATCCATTCCCTTGAGAAAGCAAAGTTTGTTCAGACGCAAAAGAAAAATGTACTATTAAAATGCAATTCAGAAGTGATAAAAACTGTAAGCATGGCAGCCGGCTCGCAGAACCTCTTTTGTATACTTAGGGACATTGGGGCCACATTAATTTTTTTGTGTGTGATGTCCATCCCTTGTGCAAATTAGCACTGGAAGGACCATCATCTGTCTTATATGAGTGCTCTTTCCCCCAGAGCATATTCAGTAATACATGCTTCTGTAACTTTGTATAATTCAAAGCTCTGTATACGGTTTATTTGGTTTTATTTTAAATAGTGTTAGGAAATATTTTTATAGGAAAAGTACTAAGAAGGGATTTATTAATAAATATTAAAAGTTACAAAGAGGTATGAAAATTAAATGAAATAACACTAATTGCTTCTAAGTTTATTAAGTGGAAAACATAAATTTTCAGTTCAATTTAGATTTAAAGGAAAACCCTCCATATCTTAACTACCTAAGATAGTATGTGTGAATTTTTTGACATATGGTAATGGCTCAATAAACATATGTTAAGCTTCAACTTTATTTATTTTTAATTCTGAATTTCAGAATATTTTTCTCAGCAGAATGTTTTATCTCACTATATAGTTTTTTGTTTCCCAGGGCTTCCGCTTTTCTCTAAATTTTCCTTTTATTTAGAAAAAGTATGTAGTTCTCATTTCATTGCTACCATGTCTCCCTTGATTATATTTGTTAAGCATTTCTGAGTTTACTTCTGATTCCTGCATCTTAAGATGTGTTTCCTCCAGGTTGTCTTCTGTGTTTGGAGTTGTGTCTTCCTTCCACGTTGATTGTTTTCCCAATTGGTAATCCATTTCTTAAATTCACGTAAAAAAAGAAAAATTTAAAATTAGATTAGAAACAGCATTTGGTGTGAGAGTGGATTTTTGACTCATAGATTTAATTATACTGTGATATGGCCTTTGAATCAAATACATCCCCCAGTGTTGGTATTTGAACTTGTTTCTCCTGGAACTCTCAAGTATCTTTTAAGAAGATTCAATCTGTCTTCTGAACAGTGTCAGTCCAACTGCCGAGTCACTTAAGAGATGAGCAAGGAAAGACTTCAGTGGGTAGACTTTGGAATAAAATCCATCTATTCCATTTGATACCTCACTTCGGCCAGTCTCTGTCCTGCTTTCCTGAGGTCAGAGATTTTGGGTGTAAATTTTTCCTGAGGATAGGCTGTTCTTATGGACTGGGCAGGGACCTGGGATATAATTACTCCTTCCGCACACATTTCATCTGTTTTCAGTTTTACTCCTCACTCTCACCTGCTGTTGTTAGTGCATCTGTACTTTCTGAACTTTTCCAGGATTCTGCTGGACGAATTGCCTTCTTTCTCTTTGAACCTCACTCTTCTGGTACTTTGATTTCAGTTTTCTTAACTCTTCTATGTCAGTTGCAAATTTTCTCTTTGCCTTTCACTTGCCAAAAATTGGCTGGTATTATCGTCTTCTGCCCTTTTTCTTCCTGTAGGTTTTATAACATTTTTATTCCTACACTCTTATTTCAGTGAGTTTTGGTGAAGGATTTGACCCATTCACCAGGTTCTCGCAATCTTAGACGGTCTGTGAAAGTTAACATGGGTTTTTAAAAAATGTGGCCTTGTCATTTCTGTTGATCCTAATAATACTTAAAGTAGTAATGATGATGAGAAGGACTGTCATACCAACAATTATTTCTACTTTTACTTCTGTGTGTTGCACCAGCATTATTTATTAGACCCTTATTCTTTTCAGCCTCCCATGTTAAATGCTTTGTGTATGTTAAATGTTTATTCCTTGTAACAAGCCTCTTTGGAAGCAAAGCCGCATAAAAGTAACTTGCACAGGTAGCAGAGGCAGAGCAAAGACGTGAAAACAGGTGTGGCTGACTCAAAATGCCCATTATCCATAACCTCTACCAACAATGCCTCCATTCTGACATCGGTGACTTTAAGATCGGAAGATAATCTATTTCAATGAGAATTTATTTTTACTGGCTTTCCTTTTTATTTTGGGATACTATTTTAAAATAAAGGGCATTTTTACTTACACAATTATGTGGCACCACTAATGCTTTAATTTGTTATTTAAATTTGCTCAGATTTACAAAATATTTGAGATTCACAAAAATTCTGTAAAAAAAATTTTAGTATCTCCATTTGTAGAATAGGAATAAGAAGTCAAAGACATTAGTAACTTGGATAGTCAGTAGCAGGTGGAAATGTCATTTAGGTATTCTGATTCCAAATCATGTATCATTTTCTCTATACTAGATTACTTCTCCAAATCCTTACTCTTTAAACCTTACTCTTTCTAGAAATGGAATTAATAGTATCTCCTAAATATTCTTCCAGGTTTTTGCCATTTTCCTCCTACAATAAAAATGAAAAGTATATCCCATCGATAAATTCATCAAGCAAGTATG